CTGATGCAACAGCAGTCTAGCCCAGGCAACACCAGGCAACAGAATGAGAATCTGTCTCAAAACAAAACAAAACAAAAAATTTCATTATAGTCAATTGCTATTAGAAAGTCCAGAATCAAACCCAAGTACAATATAAATAAATTACCAACTATATATAAGCATAAAAAAATGCTACTAGGGTTTTACAGTTTGCACACACTTTTACATCTATAATTTGTTCTCAATATATTTTAAAATATTCATTTTTGAAGAAAGAAATGTAATATTTTGTTTTAAATACACTGAACATTCTTGGAAATTTATGACCTTTCTTTATTTTGAATCTTCACTTCTTTGTATTAGAGTGCCTACCACCAAACTATTGTCAACTATTGTCTCAAGTTACTTTTTTTAAAAAGCATTTAACTGCTTAGCCTGCTAAATGTATTACGTTAAACTAATTTTTAAATGCCAACTATTATAAAGGTTTCAGCTTTAAATCCCAGGAATCTCTGAATATGTTTAAATGTAGAAAGACTATGAACACATCCACATGTGGGATGATCACAGTGCCTAATATCTGCCTGAGTTTTTGAAAATAAATTCAGCACAACAGATGCAAATGACACACTCACTGTACCACAATCCATTCTCAAGCTAATATTCTTCCCTATTCTCAGAGGCCCTATTGGTTTTGAATGTTCACCCATCAATTGGCCACAAATTCCAGCTAGTGGCTCTCTCTACTTCTCTCCTGAGGGATGGGTCACAATTGGTTTCAACCATCCAGAGTGATGTCATTCTCTGTGAGAGGGATTGGTTTAACAAAGACATGTATTAATATTTTCCAAACCAGAGGGACATGAAATGAATTCTGATGGGAGTCATGAAAAAGGTTGGCCTTCCCTATTTAAGGACGCACTTGGGAGTAAGTTATCTGTCTTCTTTGCTGCATCACAAAACTGCATGTAATACCTGGAATTACTACAACAGTCTTTCAATTGAGGATAAGGGCATAGGAGGGAAATTGTTAACACCTGTGGTAGTGACAGATGAAAAAATCTGGGTACCCAATACTGTGTGTCATTAAACCAGCGGCTCTCAATTTCTGAAGGTTCAGGACTTCTCAACAGTCTCAATAATTACTGAACAATCCAAAGAGCTTCTGTTCATGTGGACTATATCTATCAGTATTTACTGTATTAGAATTTAAAGTGAGAATTAAATATATTAAATATATTATTTATATATAATTAAATATATTTAAATATATTATATAATATAATTAAATATATTATTAATAACATATTAAATATATTTAAATATATTATTAATAAATTAAATATATTATTTGGTTACTTAAAATGAAAATAACATCTTCATATAAACTCACCCAAAGATTCTAATTTTGATTTATATTTTTAAGTTGCTATGAAAATACTAAGCCTATCCAGCAGAAGCTATAGAAAAAATTTAAAGTGGAAAAAGCTATACTTGTTTTGCGAGAAGTTTCCTAGTCACAAAGTTAGAGTCCATTATATTGCATCTATAATTGAGTTTTAAAATAGTTTATTTACTATTGAATAGTTAATTAAATTATATTATATAATTAATATATTTATGCTCAATCATGTTTTGGAACTGACAAATTTATTTTATTGGAACAGAGAGCTCTCAAGGAGCAAACACCTTAATGTTGACAATTTGTAAGGTCATTAAATTAATTCCATTATAATTTGAAGTCCAACAGTTTCTTGCCAGATATACTCATAGTTAAACAGAAAAATACATATTTGCATTTTAGGAACAGAAGCTCATATAGATTTGTTGCTATCACATTTTAAATTGATTTGATGGTTTAAACATGATAGGCAACTTAGAAACACAACATTGTTTATCATTTTGAATCTGTCTTTCCTGAAAGAAAAAAAATTTATTATGAAAGAAATTTCATAGAAAATTAGCCTTTGAAATATGTTTATAAATTAAATTTGGAGCCATAAAATGGAATATTCAACTAAATGCACGAATTATTTCAAGTTTTTATGAAATATTATATAAAATCAATATTATCATTTTCGGTTTGATATGAAATGAAAGTTAACATATCAAGAAAAATTGTTAACAGCTGGATGAGTGTTAAATTAGTTTATTTTGAATGCTGGCAACTCAGAAATTCATTGAAATGTTTAAAAATGACCAAAATAATGTTTACTACATATTAATAACTTAAATATTTAAATTTATTTTTCCTGATAATTTAGAATCAATATTTGAGAAAATATTTAGTGGAAAATTTATTTAATATTAATGAAATATATTAAGTTTTATAATGTTTTGAAACTTTGGAATCATAAAATTATTTCTCATAGAACTAATGAAAATGGATTTTTAAAACCTAACACCATTGTTATGTTGTGTCTTTCTATCTTGCCCTTGTGTTCTGAGTTAAAACTACACTAGAGTTACCAAGTTTTTGTTTTTGCCATCTACTTTGAAACTGCCATCGTGTTGCCAGGTTTAGTGCCTGCTCACTGTTTTGGCTAAGTAGTTATTCTATTCTGGAATGCTTTCAGTGGGCACAGGTTATTTGATTCCATTTAAAGGTAAACCTTCCTCTTTGGTCAGGCGTGGTGGCTCATGCCTGTAATCCTAGCACTCTGGGAGGCTGAGCGGGCTGATTGCTTGAGGTCAGGAGTTCGAAACCAGCCTGACCAAGAGCAAGACCTCGTCTCTACTATAAATAGAAAGAAATTAATTGGCCAACTAATATATATAGAAAAAATTAGCCAGGTGTGGTGGTGCATGCCTGTAGTCCCAGCTACTCGGGAGGCTAAGGCAGCAGGATTGCTTGAGCCCAGGAGTTTGAGGTTTCTGTGAGGTAGGATGACGTCATGGCACTCACTCTAACCTGGGCAACAAAGCAAGACTCTGTCTCAATAAATAAATAAATAAATAAATAAAAGTAAACCTTCTTCTTTACTTTTATGTATCCTTACCCAAAATCTACAACCCCAATCTAATCTAAATTTTTAATGAGAAAACATTAGAAGAATCCTAATTCATGGATGTTCTACAAAATAACATGACCCATAATCTTCAATAGTGCACAGTGCATGAAAAACAAAGAAAAGACTAAGACATTGTTACAGATTGAAGGAGTCTAAGGAGACATGATGACTGGATTCAATGTGGTATTCTAAACTGTTCCCTGGAATAAAAAAATGGACATTAATGGAAAACTGGGTGGAATTGATAGTTTAATTAATAGCATTTTATTACTTTACATTCTTAGTTTTGATGACCGTACCATGATTATGGTTAGGGGATCCTACCTGAAGGGTATAAAGGAGATGTTTACTATCTTTGCAGCTTTTCTATAAATATCAAATTATTTTAAACAAAAAGTTAAAAAGTTAAGTGAAAATATATTAAAAATTGCCAAAGCCTTGCAGTTTTTCCAAAGAATTTATGCAGTCTTTAACTCTGAGAGTACCAGTAGTAAGGAACAAGACAGACATTTTCTTTCTTTTTTTTTAAATTTATTTTTCCCATCATCTTCCAAATCAAACATTTTCTTTCTTTCTTTTCTTTTCTTTCTTTTTCTTTTTATTTCAGGGTATTATGAGGGTACAAACATTTTGGTTACATTTTATATCTTTGTCTTTCCCTAGCAAGGGTTAGAGGCATGCCCTTCCCCTCTGCAATGCTCACCGTGTCCTTTAGTTCTGAGTTTACTCCCCCCCCCCACAGAACACCCTAATCCCTGGAGAATATTACTACCACGTGAACATCATAGTGTTTATCAGTCAGTGCCAAATTGATAGCTGATCAAATGAAGCATTGCGTAATATCAAGGCCCCAAACAATGTTTAAAAAATAGATAAATCATTTTATTCCTCTCCCTTACCTGGAATGACTAAGTGATTGAATATCTTAATCACAATTATTTTCCAAGTAGTATTTTTGAGATATTAACCAACCCAATTTCTCATTTATATGGTTCACATGTTTTGGAAGAAAAACAATTTAAAATGTATTTCAAGTCTATGATTTTTATAATCAGAAGTAATATAGTTTTATTTTCTTTCAAAATATAAAGTCTTAAGGAAATGACAAAAGATAATAAAGTTTCCTTGATGCCTTCATTTCCTAAAGGATTTATTCACTATTTTAAAATATTCTGATTTCATAGTCCTAACACAAGCAGTAACTTAATATGGAGTACAGTGTAAAGTCTGTTCTTATCCTTTATCCCAGCCTTCCACCTCGATCACATGATAATCTGAAGAAACACTGTCCACATATAAATTGGGAAAAAGGTACTGGACCAGTGAGTTGATTGGGAACATCATCACTTTTCAGGAGAGATATCTTATTGTTTTAATAAATATTTCAGGGTTTGAAAGATATCTTTTGAAATATTTTATAGTATAAAAAACATATTTATAAATATGAAAATACATAGGGATTCAATATATATCTATTGTTTAAAACTAATCCCTTTTTGTCTTCAGTTTTATGGAGTTATGTCAACAATAATACAAAAGGACATATTAAAAATTAATTCAATTTATAAGGAGTTCTCATTGCAGGCCTTTTAAAATCAATAAAATGAGATTTCAAATCTATTTTTAGTTTATTTTTTTATCTAAGATTCCTTTATCCTTAATTTATTGTAAAATAGTTATGAATAGGATATACATTTTCATTTTTATACATATATATTATAATTTTTTGCTTTTTATTTGCCCCCTATACTTTGTTTTGCTATATAAAAGATCTCCAAACAATATTTTTTAGTGTATTTGCTTGATAAAATAGAGGATGGGATATAATTAGTTATGCTGTCCACTAGCACCTGGATAAAAGAAACTGTAGAGAAAAGCCCAATTTCTTCTCTTTCATTTAAAAATGGTAAATCTTTATTTTATTGTATAGGAACAGTCATGAAAGTTTGAATCTTACTAAGTTTTATTAGTCTATGTTATACTAAGATTTAACTCTTTTCTGTCCCTTAGGTATAGTTCCCTGATGTTCAGTGAATCCATTCTGGGAGAACAGTAATAAAGACGATCTAACATTACAGGTAGAGAAAGGAATCACTGATCTTCATGAAGAGTCTACAAGATGAGCAGGTAAGTAATGTTACTCTCTATGCAAATTTTTTCTGCAGGATATTGTAGGGGCTGGGCCTAGAAGAAAGGTTGGATGCATGGAAAGAATGTGAGCAAGGTGAATGAAGGGTCAGGTGAAAATTCCTGCCCAGGGCTGCTTGTTTGCTCAGTGCAAAAGTCAGCTGAAAACAGCTGACCTGTATGGAAGTTGTTAAATAAATTAACAAATGGTCCTGACCCTTTGCACATGTCCTTGGAAATAAATATGGGGAAGAAGTTAGCTGAGGAGGCAATTTTTTCCTTTAGATTATGGTCTCTCCCCTTCTCTGTAAATACTATGTGTTTCAAGCAATTATTCATTCCTTCACTACCTAGCTCAGGAGTGAAAAAGTAGCCACAACAGGATATCACACTTGTTGTCTTCCCTTGCCTTCAACTTTCTTGAAAGAATCGTATCATGTAAATAAATATGATGAATGAAGTCATTTAATTCTTGCAATACCATAGGCAATGTGAATTTTATTCCTTTGTTAAGTAAAGAAATCATGACTAGAGTTGTGCTGCCAGATTTGTTTAATTGGCTGTGGCCCTCAACCCCTGGGCCACAGACTGGTACTGGTACTGGTACTGGTCTGTACACAGAGCTCCACCCCCTCCCCCACCTCCAGTCTGAAGAAAAATTTTCTTCCATGAAATCAGTCCCTGGTGCCAACAAGGTTGGGGACCACTGGTTGGTTATTCCTTTGCTGTAACCCATGTTCTATGGATTCTGTTATTGCCTCTTTTGTGACATTGCTATAGGATTATAAGAAGGTCTTTTCCACAATGTTTGGAATTAACAGTCATTGCTTGTATATTGTGTTTATGGTGTCTTGCTGTCATCTTCAATATCAGTCTGTGATGCTGAATTAATGTTCTATCTGTCAAAAGTTGCAGCACCAAAACAAATGTATAGTCCTGCTGTCACTAGAACTCTCCACCTGGAGTAATTTAGTCTTAGCTTAGTTAATATGATTTTGTTTATGTTGACATTCTGTCAAAATACAGCAAACTTTCAAAATTTGTTTTCTATGCATTGTCCTTCATCTAAATTATACATCATTCTGAATATTTCAATTTTAAGCCTTTTTCCTGAAAAGAAAAAGAAAGAAAAATAAAAAGAAGAATGTTTAAATATCCACCTTGAAATGACTCTACTCTAGAACGATTTCTAGTTTTTTCATAGGGACATTTTTCCCCCTCTATCCTTGGGAGATTTAGATCTATAGGAGAAACAAGGCATCAATAAAACTTTATTTTTAGTATTTATGGATATGTCATAGGTATACATATTTAAGGGACACATATTAAGGCGGTACAAATGTTTTTGTTACATGGATTCCTTGTATAATGCTTAAGTCAGGGCTTTTGGTTTGATAGGCTTTTGCCTATCACCCAAATAGTGTTCATTGTACCCAGAGGTAAGTTTATATCTCTTACTCCTCCTCTCAACCTCCCCGTTCTTGGTTTCCCATGTCATTTATATCTCCTTTTGTCTATGTGTACCCATTGTTTAGTTCCCACTTATTAGTGAGAACATAATGTGTTTGGTTTTCCACTCCTGAGATACTTCACTTAGGACAATGATCTCCAGTTCCATTCAAGTAAGTTGCTGCAAATGATATTATTTCATTCCTATCTATGGCTGAGTAGTACTCCATGGTGTCTCTCTCTCTCTCTCTCTCTCTCTCTCTCTCTCTCTCTGTGTCTATATGTGTATACACAGACACATTTTCTTTATCTACTCGTGAATTGATGGGCACTTAGGTTGATTCCACATCTTTGCAATTGTGAATTATACTGTGATAAGCATTTAAATGCAGGTGTGTTTTTGACAAAATGTATTCTTTTTCTTTGGGTAGACACTCAGCAGTGGGATGGCTGTATTGAATGATAGATCTACATTCATTACTTTGAGGAATCTTCATACTGTTTTCCATAGAGATTGTACTAATTTGCAGTCCTACCAGCAGTGTTTTAATGTTCTTATCTCTCTACATCCACACCACCATCTGTTTTTTTGGTTTTTGGTGTTTTTTTGTTTGTTTGTTTGTTTGTTTTTTAGTAATGACCATTGTGATGTGGGTAAGGTGGTATCAAATTGTAGTTTTAATTTGCATGTACCCATTAGTGATGTTGCACATTTTTTCATGTTTGTTTACCATTTTTCTGTCTTCTTTTGAACCTCTGCTCATGTCTTTTGCCCACTTTTTGATGGTGTTGTTCATTTTTATTTCTTATTCATTTATTTGAGTATTTTGTAGATTCTGGATATTAGTCATTTGTCAGATGTAAAATTTGTGAGTATTTTCTCCCATTCAGTAGATTGTCTTTTCACTCTGTGAAAAGACTATTGACTATTTCCTTTGTTGTGCAGAAGCTTTTTAATTTAATTATATCCCATTTATTTATTTTTCTTGTTGCTGTATTTGTGTTTAGGGTCTTAGTAATAAATTATTTGCCTAGGTAGATGTCTAAACGAGTTTTTCCTACATTTCCCTCTATAATTTTATGGTTTCATGACTTACATTTAAGTATTTTATCCATCTTGAATTAACTTTTGTATGTGGCAAGACATAAGGATACTTATGTCCCCATTTGGTATGATGATAGCTGTGGGTTTGTCATAAATGGCTCTTATGATATGCTCCATATATGCCTAGTCTGTTGAAGATTTTTATAATGAAATGTTGCTAGATTTTATCAAATGATTTTTCTACATCTATTGAGATGATGACATGGTCTTTATTTTTGCTTCTGCTTATATAGTGAATCATGTTTATTGATTTGCATATATTGACCCATCCTTGCATCTCTGAATATTGTTGAATTCAGTTTGTTAGTATTTTGCTGAAGATTTTTGCAAAAAAATCTATGTTCATAAGGGACATTGTTCTATAGTTTTCTTTTTCTATTTTTCTTTCTTTCTTTTTTTTTGTACTTTTCTGGCTTTGGAATCAAAGTGATACTGGCTTCGTAAAATGAGTTCAGGAGGAATTCCTACTTCTCAATATTATGAAATAATTTCTGTAGTATAAGTATTAGTTCTTCTTTGTAGGTCTAGTAAAATTTGTCTGTGAATCCATCTGGTCCAGCCCTTTTTATTATTGGAAGATTTTTTATTACTGCTGCTCTTTATTAGTCTGTTTAGGATTTCTATTTCTTCCTGATTTCAACTGGGGAGGTTGTGTGTTTCCAGGAATTCATCTATTTCCTCTTGGTTTTCTAGTTCACGTGAGATTTTGTAATATTTATGAATGATATTTTATATTTCTGCAGTATCAGTTTTAATGTCTCCTTTTTCACTTCTGGTTGAGGTTAAGTATCTTCTCTTCTGTTTCTGGTTAATCTGGCTAACAGTCTATCACGTTTGTTATCTTTTCAAATAATTCACTTTTTGTTTCATTGATACTTTGTATAATTTTTGGTATTTAGTTTCTGTTCTGTGTGATTTTTTTTTTTTTTTTCTGTGTGATTTTTTTTTTTTCTACTTCTGGCTTTTGAATTTGGTTTGTTGTTCTTTTCTAGTTCCTTGAGTTATGACATTAGGTTTTTAATTTGTGACATTTCTATCTTTCTCATGTAGGCATTTAAGGCTCTGAACTTTCCCCTTAGGACTATGTTTCTTGTATGCCATAGATTTTGAAATCTTATGTCCCTTTTGTCATTCAATTTGAGGAATCTCTTGATTTCCATTCTAATGTCATTATTGATCCAAGGAGGTTCAGCAGTAAGTTGTTTAATTTTCATGAATTTACATAGATTTATGTTTCTGTTGGAATTCATTTCTAGTTTTAATTCACTCTGGTCTGAGAAGAACCATGGAATGATTTCAACTTTTTTAAATTTTATTGAGACTTATAATGTGGCCTAAGACATGATCAATCTTAGAAAATGTCCCCTGTGCTGATGAGAAGAATGTATATTCAGTAGTTTTGGGGTAGAATATTCTATAAATGTCTGTTGAGTCTTTTTCTTATAGAGTCCCATGTTTCCTTATTCATTTTATGTTTCAATCATCTTTCCAGTTCTGTCAGTTGGGTGTTGACATCCTCAGCAATAAAGATTCTACTGTTTATCTCTTTTCATAGATCTAGTAGAAAATGCTTTATGAATCTGGGAACTTCCGTATTAGGTTTATATATATTTAGGATTGTTATGTGTTCTTGTCGAATTGCTCCCTTAACAATTGTATAATGACGATTTTTGTCTATTTTTTTTAACCATTGTTGATTTAAAGTCTATTTTATATCTGATACCAGAATGGCTATACCCGTTCGCTTTTGGTTTCCGTTTGTGTGGAATATTTTTTCCATCCCTTAATTTTGAGTCTATATGAGTCCTTGTGGTTTAGATGTGTTTCTTAGAGAAAGCAAATACTTAGGTTGGGTTTTTTTCTTCTTTCTTTCTTTCTTTTTTTTGTTTTTTTGTGTTTTTTTTTTTTGGTCACCTAGTCTATATCTTTTAAGTGGGGCATTCAGACTGTTCACACTGAGTGTTAGTATTGATATGTGGGATGCAATACTGTTCATCATGTTGGATGATATCTTCTTTTATTTTCCTTCTTTTGCTATTGTTTTATAAAAGTCGTGATCTTTGTCTTGTGAGTGTTTTTACAATGTTCAATATTTATTGTTCTGTTTCATATAAAATGAACATTTGAACATTTCCTGTAGGGCAAGGCTGGTAGTGACAAATTCCCTTAGTGTTCCCTAAATGACTGTTTTATTTATTTAACCACTTCGGTACGGCGCTCACCAGCCGGGAAACCTTGCCCACAGTCGGCACTCATAGTTCGCATGATAGTTTGTGCTGTGCATTGACGATGAATCCGTTTTGCTCTTGTGTGATGAGGAAAGCTTTAAAGCATTGAAAGCTTGTTTTACTTTACAGGCAGCTTTACTTGTAAATCAGAATAGGTAACATATACATATATGTTTTCATTACGTTATTTTTAAATGTTCACAATTTTATTTTGTTAAATGAGAAATTAGAAAAGTCATATCACAGCTGTCGGCTAAAGTTGACGCTCAGCTGTGCGCCTTCATACCACGGCTGTCAGCTAAAGTCGCTGTCGCGTTCATCTGTGGCTATCGACTGTAGTCAACGCTGGTACCGAAGTGGTTAAGTTCAGTTATATCCATTCTTATGTTGTGTATCTCCTTATCAAGGTTTTCATTTTTTTCATTCATGTCCTGAAATTGTGTGTGTGTATGTTGCTTTTCAACTTTCTCTTCAATCCCATTCATCTTATTTTCCATCCTTATTCTAATTCCATTTCTGATATTTTGACAATTTCCTTTTGGTTGAAGTCTGTTGCTGTGGATTTATTGTGATCCTTTGGGGATGTTGAACTAGCTTGTTTTATTATGTTGCCAGAATCCTTTGCTGATTTATTCTCACCTGAAACCTCTTCTCACAGCTCAAGGCTAATAGGTTTGTGGCACACTTGTTCTCCTTTGCTTGGAACTGTTTTACTTAGTGAGAAGGAGGATATGTCACTATATAGCCCTTTTGTGCCCTACTCTAGAGGATTGACCCAGGGGGAGAGGGGCGGATGCACTGAAAGCCTATAATGTAGCTACTCTCTGACATTTCCCTGTGGTTGTCACAGTCCATGCCAGTGCTGGGAGATATTCTTTCAGATTGGTGGGTTGGTCTTCAAGCCACTGTTGGAAGTCTTTGCTGAGTGCTGGGTAGTTCTTCTCCATGAAGGTGGGTGGTGACCTTGGCAGATGCTTGGGCAAATCACAGGACCTTAGTTGGTGCCTGGGTGTTTCACAGGACTGCAGCCAACAGTGGAGTTGATCATGGGAATTTTTGTGTGGTTGCCTGCACATTTTGTGGGATCTTGTTAGGTTCCTGGACAGGTTGGTTGGCCTTGGACAATACCTAGGTTCATTGGAAGACTGTTGCTGACAGCAGGGTTGTCAGGCTGCAGTGCTGTTGGCTGATGGGGCTGTAGAGATGTACTCCTCCTCACTGGGGAGTTGTGGTGACTGGGGCTTTCCCTCAGCCCAGGTCTGACTGTGGCAGCTGCTGTGGTACTATGCAGGTGATAGCAGCAATGCCAGATGCTGAAGGTCTATGTGCACCTGCTCTGCTCAGCTCCATGGGAGGGAACCAATGAGGGGCATTCAGGTGGGCACCACACCCAGTCACAGTGTATGTTAGAGCATCTAACCTTCTCACACCTTCTCTGGCCTGGAAGGGGTTATGGGGAGGTGAGCAGTGGAGCCAACCCCTCTCAGAACAGGCACTCTGGGGCTGAGAGCACAGAGTGGTGCCTGTTACACCTGAGACCAGAAGCTGGTGGGACCCCACCATGCCTACTCTAAGGTGCAGTGCTGTTGCACAGTCTCCAGGCAGCTCTCTGATCAGTTCATAGGCCTACTATGGATGGGGAGCCCCTCTTGAAGCTTGGGTTGCAGTGTCTGCTTGGGGAATGTGGAACCCTGGAGATCCTTCCACTGTCACTTTCTCACATGTGAATGCTTCCCTCAGGAACCTTCCGATCTTGCCAAGCAGAACACCCTGTGTCTCTCTCCCCAACTTAGGGTATCCCTGTCACTTCTTTGTTGATTCACTGTGCTCTCTTTGAAATGATCTGTCTCCAGGTGAACCTCTACACACAACCCTTCATCCTCTCCTTGAAAGCAACAAGTGCAGGTTGCTTCTAGTCTGCCATCTTGTTCCACGCACCCAACCTGGGACATTTTGATACATGCATACAATGCAGAATGATTGAATGTAGGTAACTGGAATATCCATCCCCTCAAATATTTATCATTTCTTTGTGTAGAGAAGGTTCAAAATCTTCTCTTCTAGCTATTTTGAAATATGCAACTATTTCAAATAGTGTTAACTATTGTCATTATATTTTGCTACCAAATACTAGATCTTATTCCTTCTATCTAACTGTACTTTTATACCCATTAAGCAACCCCTCTTCCTTCCTGCCTCTCCCTTACCCTTCCTATCTTCTGGTAACCACGATTCTAATCGCTATCTCTATGAAATCAATTTTTATAGCTCCCACTTACGAGTGAGAACATGTGATATTTGTATTTATGTGCCTGACTTATTTCACTTAACCTAATGACTTCTAATTCCATCCATGTTGCTGTGAATGATATTTCCTTCTTTATTATAGCTGAATAATATCCCACTATGTACATATAGATTTTCTTTATCCATTCATCCACTGATGTACATCTGTGTTAATTCTATATCTTGACTATTGTCGATAGTGTTACAATAAACAAGGGAGTACAGATGTTTCTTCAGTATACTGATTTTCTTTCTTTTTGATAACTGGATCATATGGTTGTTCTGTTTTTAGGTTTTTGAAGACCCCCCACACTGTTTTTCCTAGTATCTGTACTAATGTACATTTCCACGAACAGTAGAAAGAGATTCCCCTTGCTCCGCATCCTTGCCAGCATTTATTTTCTATACTTTTGATAATGACCATTTTAACTGGGGTGAAATGATGTCTTCCTCTAGTTTTAATCTGCAATTAATCTGATGATTAGTGATATTGAGTAGTTTTTTTTATATACCTATTGGCCATTTGTATGCCTCCTTTTGAAAACTATTTCAGGAGGAAAAAAGGCCCTTTTATCAGGCTCTTTCAATCAGCTTCAGATGCTATGTTAAATAACTTGAGACCTTGAGACCACTCTTTCATGACATCTTAACGAGGGGATTTCTTGTGAGGACTATGGAATGCAATTATCACAATTTCTCTGACTCAATTGAGACTGCTAGATTCCAAGTGAAAAATTTCCAGGTTTGAAGATTAGATAGACAGATGATGGATGATAGATAAATTTGACTTCTCTTAAAGTAAGTTGAATTATCAAAGCATGAAATAGATCGTCACACTTATCTCTTTTCAATATAAGGCAAAAAAAAAAAAATATATATATATATATACCAAGAAAACCTACTAGAAAATTCAAAGGAAAAGTGATGAAGGAACTTCATTAAAAATAAGAACACTCATCTGAATTATTTAGGATTTTATAGGACTAAATACACCATTCTCTGTATATTGCCAAATAATGAGAAATTAAAATCTGCCCTTCAGTCCATTGGGTTATTTGAAAAGTTTCTGCAAATAGAGTAGTGTTACAATACTTCTTGTTGTGAACCATCACTAAAAACTCATGTCTAAAATATTCTTTAAATATGTCTCATATTTTAGGTAATTATATCACACAGACATAGTCACCTATATTTAGGTAAACTGTTTTATTTGAACCAATCAAGTAACAAAAGATGTGCCTGTATGTATGTGTGTGTGTGTAATTTACACATATAAACTGAAGTTCTTAAAATTTTTGATCCAAAGGGAAATTTATTGTGGGAAGCATGAGAACTTCCTACTCCAAATAAGTGAAAAGCATATGAATTTGCAAGAAAATTGAAATACAGGGTTTTGAATTTTGAATCTCATTGTTTCTATTACCCAGCTTGTTTATATTGATGATATTCAAAAAGAAAATCTATAAATGGGGTTTTATAAGAACATATCCATATTAGTGATTATATAAAAGTAAAAAGAAAAGTAAAACACACCTTCTGTAAGCATCACTCTGATATGTAGAACATAATTGTATTATTCAATATTTGTTGAATAATAATGTTACATATTTGTTCACTTATTTTATTGTATGTACACTCTGATGCTCCCATTTGTAATTTCATCTATAAGGTCATCAATGCTACACTGGACCAGTGCTACACACTGTTAGTGTTACACTGGGCAACATTAACATATGGTCTTCATGTTTGCTAATTCTAGTACCCACCTGACTCTCATCAGGGCAAAAGATGATGGCAAAAGCTTACACATAGTGACACCTCTCATCATGCTCGTATTATAACTGTCTTACAAAAATGCCTTTTGTACTTAGAAACATTGGCTATTTTCTCATTATTTTAGGAAAATGAACTCACGTTATATATAATAGTAAACATCTTACTTTTCTCACTATATTATGGTGAGAATATAATGTAGAAATTCCTATATTCATACTAGATTTAGTTCTAAGGAACAGGTGTATGATATTTCATGATCTTGAATATTACTGCAACCCTTCTTCTATTCTATATTGAAGCACTTTCACTTTCTTTCTAATTCTGTTTTTGATTTTTTTTTTTTTTTGTATTTCTTTTTGTGCCTTTGCTACTACAAATGATTCTTCAGGAAACATTCTAAAAAATAAATTACTGAGAACAGAGTTTTCCAGTATGATACTCTTTTATTTTTGGTGTAGATTCCCAGAAACTGAATTTCTAAGACAGCGAGTACATGTTTAATGCAATAGTTTTAAAAATATACTTTTATTACACAGCGTGGCATCCGAGAAATGTGATTGTTGAGTCAATGGGTACATTTGTAATGAAATTGTTTTTGAATTATGTTTTTATTTCTATGGTATAAAATTTCCAGAATGGTATTGCTGAGTAAATGTGTACATTTTTAATGCAATAATTTCCAAATAGTGTTCAAAGAAAACCTAGAGTTTAAAGATGGCTTTTTGTTGTCATTTTTAAATTTTTAAACAGGTTGATGGAATGTCTACTGGGTGGTCTTGGGTTCACTTTCATGCTTTGACCAGAGTAGGTCTGCTTTTTATACATTTAATGTATCGCTATGGCACCTATTGATAGCTATTCACCAGAATCTGTTTTCTTTTCCCTGGGCACACATCAACATTATATTTCCTAGCTCTCCTTGATGTCACTTGTGGCTGTGTGGCAGAGTGCTAAACGATGGAACAAGAGCAGAAGAAATGAGATCAGTGACCTCGAAGACCCCCCAACCCCCATAGAAGCCTTCCACATGTCCTCCATCCATTCACCTTCTGGCTGAAATTGGGAGCCACATTTTAAAGCTTGGAAAAGCTGTCAGTCTAAGTGGTTATGGTAAGATGCACTCTCCTGATGGCTAGGAAAACTCACCTTGGAAAAATAATTTAAAGGAAAAAAATTATGTCTGAACCATGGCAAACTTGGGATCAATCGGTTATGTAGCTAACATCAACCTAACTAATAATTACATCCATGCAAGTCTTCAGCAGAGAAAAAGCCTTCTGATGACAGGTACCTTGCTTAATTAATACCCTACTAAATGCTTAATATAATTTCTAAAAAAATAAGTTATTTTATTTTCTAATAATAGTGGCAAATATGATTGTAGAAATCACATAAAACAAGATATTTTTAAAAAGGTGCAATGTGGCCTTGCAAAGCTGGAGGCTTAATAATTATTTCCAGCTTCAGGACACAAGAAGATAATAATAAACTATATATAGATTTCAAATTTTCAACACCTATGTTAAGATTTTATAAAAGACATCAACATGGTCTGTCTTTAAATAAATTGTGATTTGGAGGCTGATAAAGGTGTGATAGTCTTTAACAAAGTAGGGTAAAATCAAAATTAAAATGTTACCAGTGATAATTCTCGTGACATCTCTCAGCAGGAGCAACAGTAATATCACAGAATAAAGACCAGGAGGAAGACATTATCCCTCTTCATGAAATAGAAATAGATTACATCAGTCTCTTTCTCTTTTCTTAATTTTTCTCCTGACATTGCTTGTGTCTTAAAGTAAAATTAGATTTGTCTCCCAAAATTTGCTCAAAAAAAAATGATTCTTCCTGTCTTCCTTCCTTTCCTCTTTCTTTAATAATGTCACCAAAAGCCACTAAATAGACAAGTATAAAGAAAGGCCTGGTGAGGCTTGGGACCCATATGAGGAAGGGGGCCAAATAGGGTGGCAGCCGTAGGTGTCAGGATATTGGTTACCTATAAGGGGATTGAGAAATAAGTAAATATTGAGACACTATCACTAGACAGATTTCTCAATGTTAGAGGAAAAAATTACAAATATAGAAAGGAGGAAACCTGGAATGGATACCATAGTGCTGGATTGGAATTTAAGTTTTTAATGTAAACTTATGAATATATATATATGCATGTGTGTATACATTTTAAAATTATGAATTATTTTACTTACTTATAATTACTATATTTTCTAATATGTAAAGGATATGAAAATTATATCAAAATATATTATTATGATGATGTAATTTTGTATTAGCTTACAGATAGACAAAGTTGCCAATGAAACAGAAGAGAAAGTCCAGAAACACCAAATACTTCTGTGGTTACCTGATTTATTACAAAGGCAGTAATGCAGCATAAGAGGAAGAACATATCTTTAATAAAGGTCTCTTGACCCACTACCCTCATATCATATACAAAAGTCATTTTAGCATGGATTAAAAATTTAAACAAAAAGTAAAAGTTTTAGTGGAAAATATAGGAGAAATTCTTAGTGATCCTGGAATAGCAGATTGTTTTTATAAAGGATACAAAACCTTATGAGAATTGTAGAGAAAAAGCTAAAACAGTCTTTATTAAAATAATGAACTTACATTTAACAAAAGACATAAGAGAATAAAATAACATTCTAAGTGGGAGAAAATATTAACAATGTATATATTCCTCAAAGAACTCTTTATGAGCTCTAACAAATTATAAATTAATAAACACAGATAATCCAATAGAAAAAAGGCATAACATATTTGAACAGATGCTTCATAAAAAATATATCCAAATGACCAATAAACATATTAAAAAAAGCTCAATTCCATTAAGCATAAGAGAAATACAAATTAAAACCACAAGCTGATATCACTACACATACTTCAGGGTAATGCAAACAAAGAAAATACTAAGTGAAACCACCAGAACTCTCATGCACTGATAGTTGAAATATAAATGGATAAATACAGTATATTGATAAAATGAAATACTATGTAGCAATGACCACAAATTATATATAACTACATGAGATAATAGGAATGGATTTCATAAACATACAATTGAGTGAAAGTAGTTAAACATAAAAGAGTGCACTGCATGATTCTATTTACATAAAATATAAAACAGCCAAAACTAATCTATTGGGTAGGAATCATGAAAGTGAATATCTTCCTGTTTTCAGAGGTTATTAAGTGGAAGAGGGTATGAAATTTCTTCTAAGATGCTGACAATGTTTCTACTTAATTTGAGTGCTGGTTACACAGTTATCTCCATTTTGGGAGAATACACTGGACTGTATATGTATATGCATATTTCTGTTTTTCATACATCTCAATAAAAATTAAAAAAAAAAATAAAAATCCTGAAATGGGAATGGATTGATTTTTATCATACACCAAATAGGAATCTAATATAAATAAGTAAAATATGCCTGAAGCCTCTAATTTTGGATTAAAAATCTATATATCCTTATTTTAATAACTTATGTGACAATCATATTTAAGTATGCTTTGCAGTAAGTCATATAATTAGACTAAGACTTTCTTTATCTCTATTGAATGTTGATGGAGAGTTTTAATTCTGCAGTGTCAGAAGGTAAACTTCTGAAAAGAGACTATTTTCATAGTAATTCTCACTATTATAATGTAGGCATTTCTACCATGAGAAATGCTTCCCTGTAGTTCCGAAAAATCTGCTTGATATATATTTTTTGTGAGTATAACACATTTAATTTTTTAAATATAAATGGTCTAAAATCTAACAGGAAATTTTACTTTTAGGAATTACAATCATCATTTATTAACAATATAGTGGACAGTTTTAGTGAAACATCACTCAAGCTGCATACATTTACATTTTGTGTGCCTATTTTGTTCTTTTCTGCTCATAATAAATAAGTCCTACAAAGATATTTTTTTTTCTTTTTTTGGAATATTTGATAATGTTTGACCCTATAAAGGATTCAGTTAATCTTTACCATTTTGGAAAAGAAGGCAAGGAGAAAGAGCCCTTTAAGTTTCATAAGAAAAAGAAAGCTCCCTGATCCCTAGTTAGATAATCAAGCATATAAAAATAGTAACAATTTTATGTTTGCAATTTCAGCAGCTAAATATATACTTCTGTGATGCCGAGGAACTTAAAGGGTCATGAGTTTGAAAGAATTGGAACCTAAGGAATTCCTTTTTGTGAACTCGGGACATTCTGAGTCAAGTTTGACATGAGAAGACTGAAGTTACCACTGAAATCTGTCTCACATGAAAAATAGCTCTAGCCTCTGCTTGGTTCAGGTCAAGCAAGGCAGAACTGCATCAGGATCTGAAGCAGTCAGAATATGGAAGATCAGTGCTCAACAGGAGCACATTTTGATAAATGGATCTAGGAACAGTCATGGGTTGATTGAAAAACATAGATCTCACTGCTTAAGGAACTGAGTGGAATGTGAAGGTTATTTGGAAATGGATAATTTTAGAAATTGGAAATGGGGAGTGGGTGATGTGTCAAAGAAGGAGATATTAGACTTTCTGCTACTCTAGGCAGAGGCTCTTTAAAATACTATGAATTTGAGAAAGAAAATACAGGAGATTAACCATGCATCTGAATGGTATGGATTATTTCATATTGTTTACTGGTTATCATACCATTAGGTACCTAAAACAAAATGATAAAAAAAGAAACAAATAAATAAAAAATTAAAAAAATTAAATGAAGCAAAAATAGAGGCTGAGGAAAGCTTGATAGGAATAAATATAAGGGAATCTTTGAGATTGCATTTAAGTAGCACATAAAGCAAGGGATGTTTCTGAAGAAAAAATTCAATATGAACCCAAATAATGAAATTAGATGACAATCAAACACAAAGACTCAATTAATATTTTTTTCTTTGTACTAAGATGCAAAACATTGCAACCAGCATGGGTCACCTTTGTTCAAAGCGAATAATAAGAGAGTAAGATAAAAATAAATCAAAATGAAAACACAAATGAACACAAATGGGTATAGTGGAGAAAAATAGAAAAAAATGCAAAATCAAGAGAGTGTTTTGACTTCTATTAGTTGTAAATTAAAAGATGCTAAATTTGAAAATGTTCTTATCTCTAAATGCTCATTTAGGAGTAATGTAAAACACAGCAACATTTTGACATCTAAAAGCCACCTCAAAGATGATATGTTAAAGTGGACAAATTGAAGTAGTATGGAGTATTGGATTTAAAAACTCTGAAAAAGTTTTAACTATCTTCAGTAGTTTGATTTTTTACTAATAATTTCTTATTGTTGAAAGTTTTACCTATTTCTTTTCTAGTTTAATGATTCCTTTTTTTCCATTTGTTACTTCATTATTTTATTCAATATATCACTATCTATTTATTATTTTAGGCAGTTTAGTAAGCTATAGGAATTCGCTAGAAATGCAACTGAGAAAAATGTAGTGTTATTCTTAGACTTTTAGCTCTCTCTCTCTCTCAACATATATATAAAATATATATTAGTGTGTGTACATCTATATCTATATTTATCGTCTATACATGGGCCAGCAACCTATGGCCTATGGGCCAAATCCAGTCGGCCTCCAATTTTTGCATGGTTCATGAGCTAAGCATGGCTTTTACATTTTTAAGTGGTTGAACAAAATTAAACAATGAATAATATTTTGTGACACGTGAAAATTATGTGAAATTCAAATTTCAGTGTCCCTAAATAAAGTTTCATTGGAACACAGGTACACTCATTCCCATATGTATTATCTATGGCTGCTTCATACTACAGTAGCAAAGTTGAGTAGTTGCCAAAGAATCTGTATGGCTTGAAAAGCCTAAATTATTTACTATCTGTCTTTTTGTGAAAACTATTTGTTAACTGCTGATACAGTACCATATGGTTCTATAGTGTTGCTGGTAGTCAAAAATTAGGCACACTGACCCAGAACCCAGGCAGGAGGTCAAAGAAGCACTTTGCTCTGTAGTGGTCTTCCAGAGATACACGGCATAATCCAAAAATTATCACTCTTTTAAAACTTTTAAATTTTTTCCTTTAAAATGTACCAAGATTATAATACAAATAATTTTCAAATAAATATATATTTGTATTCAATATATATATATTTTCATCTATAATTGTAAATTAATACACATTTACATATACCCATCATAGAGACAACAGAAATGAGTGGTGGAAGGTTTGGTTGGAGTTTTAAAATAAAGGTCATATGAAATCAGGTTGTGACCATAATGAAAAATTATCTATATATATTTTAATAGCAACATAATTTACA